CCCTTCCCCTCCCCCATTTCTGAAGAAGGGTCTAGGCCCGAAATGTCAGCCTTCCTGCTCCTCTGATGCTGCTTGGCCTGCTGTGTTCATCCAGCTCTACACCTTGTTATTTCGGATGGGTGCAGTCTGGAGGGAAGGAGCTAATGTTTATGAACTCTCTGGTTGTAGCTAATCAGCAGATCTCTGTGGTTTGCATTTGCAACAGACTTTTATGGTGGATGTGGGAAGATGAGTCAGATCTTGAGTTTAGTAAATAAATGAGAAGAATCTTCCTGGGTTATTGAAAACTAAAGTAAACCAAATGTTCCCCTCAGCAACATAAGACAGATCATTTAACCAACACAACTGACCTTTATGGCTGCTGATGTAATTGCAGTTCATGTTGTTGGATACAAAAGAGTCTAAACTTAACTGAAAGAACTGCGGATGCTGTAAATCAGAAACAAAAACCAAAATTGCTGGAAAAGCTCAACAGGTCTGGCAGCATCTGTGGAGCGAAATCAGAGGTAATATTTTGGATCCAGTGAGGAAGTGTCACTGGATACAAAACGTTAACTCTGATTTCTCTCCACAGATGCTGCCAGACCTGCTGAGCTTTTCCAGCAATTTCTGTTTTTGAGTCTAAATTTAACATTATGTTGCTTGTTTTATGGACTTGAACTGGTCACAACAATAACCAATTCCCTCAGAAAAGGGCCTCTGTGCTTTCTACCCTGGAGCATTTTTTAGCGAGACTTAGTGAAATGAGGTTGCTATTTCGGTCCAGTTGGGACATTGTGAAGTTTTCAGGTTTGGAGCTACTTAAACTTAAATGAAGAGTTCTCAAAGAAAACCAAAATGTTTTAATTATTTCTGGTGTTCGACACAGCAGGAATGTTCCTTCTGGTTCGATGAAAAGAATGACAAGCTGTTTTTGCCCCAGACTTGCCCCCTCTTAAGATCACCACCATGGCCCAGTCTTACCCTGACACAGACTGAGTTTCATTAGACAATGACTGGAACCTGCAGTTCACCTGATTAATTTCATTGAGTTCTGGGGACAAATTTATTTTGGTTCTTGATCCTGTCTATTCTGAACACTGTGCACAGTCTTGGGCATCAGGGGATTTATTTAATTTGAGTGACATCCCTCTGCCTTCAAACATAATCCAAACTTGACAAATATTACACAGATGTCAGGGGGAGGCGATGGCCTAGTGGAATTATCACTGGACTGTTAATCCAGAGACCCACATAATGTTCTGGGGACCCGGGTTCGAATTCCGCCATGGCAGATGGTGGAATTTGAATTCAATAAAATATCTAGAATTTAAGAATCTAATGATGACTGTGGATCCATTGTCGATTGTTGGAAAAACCCATCTGGTTCACTAATGACCTTTAGGGAAGCAAACTGCCATCCTTACCTGGTCTGGCTTACATGTGACTCCAGACCCACGGCAATATGGTTGAATCCTAACTGCCTTCTGGGCAATTATGGATGGGCAATAAAGGCTGCCTGGCGAGCGACGCCCGCATCCCGTGAATGAATAAAGGACTATAACTGATGCATTTTCTCATGTATAAGAAATGATGCTACATTTGTATGAATATAACTTAATTAGACGGTAAAAGATCTGGAAATTTGAAACAAAATAAGAACATAAGAACTAGGAGCAGGAGTAGGCCATCTGGCCCCTCGAGCCTGTCCCTTCATTTAATAAGATCATGGCTGATCTTTTTGAGACTCAGCTCCACTTACCCGCCCGCACACCGTAACCCTTAATTCCTTTACTGTTCAAAAATTCAAAAATTGCCTTAAGCACATTCAGCGAGGTAGCTTCAACCGCTTCACTGGGCAGGGAATTCCACAGATTCACAACCCTTTGGGTGAAGAAGTTCCTCCTGACCTCAATCCTACATCTGCTTCCCTTTATTTTGAGACGATGCCCTCTAGGCCTAGTTTCACCTGCTAGCGGAAACAACCTCCCTGCCTTCACCTTATCTATTCCCTTCATAATCTTGTATGTTTCTATAAGATCTCCCCTCATTCTTCTGAATTCCAATGAGTATAATCCCAGTCTACTCAGTCTCTCCTCATAATCCAACCCTCTCAACTCTGGAATCAACTGAGTGAATCTCCTCTGTACCCCCTCCAGTGCTAGTATATCTCTTCTCAAGTAAGGAGACCAAAACTGCACACAGTACTCCAGGTGTGGCCTCACCAGGACCCTATACAGCTGCAGCATAGCCTCCCTGTTTTTAAACTCCATCCCTCGAGCAATGGCAGACAAAATTCCATTTGCCTTTTTAATCACCTGCTGCACCTGCAATCCTACTTTTAGCGATTCATGCACAAGGACGCCCAAGTCCCTTTGCACAGCAGCGTGCTGCAATTTTTTACCATTTAAAACATAGTCCATTTTGCTGTTATTCCTACCAAAATGGATGACCTCACACTTATCAACATTGTACTCCATCTGCCGGACCTTTGCCCACTCCCTTAGACTATCTGTATCCCTCTGCAGACTTTCAGTGTCTTCTGCACACTTTGCTCTACCACTCACCTTAGTGTCATCTGCAAATTTTGACGCACCACACTTAGTCCCCAACTCCAAATCATCTATGTAAATTGTAAACAATTGCAGTCCCAACACTGATCCCTGAGGCACACCACTAGCCACTGACCGCCAACCAGAAAAACACCCATTTACCCCTATTCTTTGCTTTCTACTGATCGACCAATACTCTATCCATGCCAGTACATTACCTGTAATACCGTGCAACTTTATCTTATGTAGCAGCCTTTGGTGTGGCACCTTGTCAAATGCCTTCTGGAAATCCAGATACACCACATCCACAGGTTCCCCATTGTCCACCATGCAAGTAATGTCCTCAAAGAATTCCACCAAATTAGTTAAACATGACCTACCCTTCATGAACCCATGCTGGGTGTTCCCAATGGGACAATTTATATCCAGATGTCTTGCTACTTCTTCCTTAATGATAGATTCAAGCATTTTCCCCACTACCGAAGTTAAGCTAACTGGCCTATAGTTACCTGCTTTTTGTCTACTTCCTTTTTTAAACAGTGGTGTCACATTGGCTGTTTTCCAATCTGTGGGAACCACCCCAGAGTCCAGTGAATTTTGGTAAATAATTACTAGTGCATTTGCTTCTTCCCCCATTACCTCTTTTAGTACCCCGGGATGCATTTTATCAGGGCCAGGAGACTTGTCTACCTTTAGCACCATTAGCTTGCCCAGCACTGCCTCCTTAGTGATAATGATAGTTTCTAGGTCCTCACCTGTTATAACCTTCTTGCCATTAGTTTTCGCCATGTTATTTGTGTCTTCCACTGTGAAGACCGACACGAAATAACTGTTTAATGTCTCGGCTATTTCCTCATTCCCAGTTATTAAATTGGCCTTCTCATCCTCTAAAGGACCAATGTTTACCTTCGCCACTGTTTTACGATTTACATATTTATAGAAACTTTTGCTGCCTGTTTTTATATTCTGAGCTAGTTTACTCTCATAATCTATCTTACTTTTCTTTATAACTTTTTTTGTGGCTTTCTGTTGGCCTTTAAAGATTTCCCAGTTTACTAGTTTCCCACTACTCTTTGCTTTTTTGTATGTGTTTTTTTTCAATCTGATACTTTCCTTTATTTCCTTAGACATCCATGGCTGGCTCTCTCTTTTCCTACAGTTCTTCCTTATCACTGGAATATACTTCTGCTGAGCACTGTGAAAAATTGTTTTGAAAGTCCTCCACTGTTCCTCAATTGACCCACCATAAAGTTTTTGCTCCCATTCTACCTGAGCTAACTCCTTCCTCATTCCTTCATGGTCTCCTTTGTTTAAGCACAGGACATAGGTACTGGATTTAACCTTCTCACGCTCCATCTGTATTTTAAATTCGACCATACTGTGATCGCTCCTTCCGAGAGGATCCCTAACTGTGAGATCATTAATTATTCCTGTCTCATTACACAGGACTAGATCTATGATAGCTTGCTCCCTCGTAGGTTCCATTACATATTGTTCAAGGAAATTATCGCGGATGCATTCTATGAACCCCTCCTCAAGGCTGCCATGACCGACCCGGTTTGACCAATCGATATGTAGATTAAAATCCCCCATAATAATTTCTGTACCATTTTTACATGCATGAGCTATTTCTATGTTTATTGCCAGCCCCACCATGATGTCATTATTTGGTGGCCTATAGACCACACCTATCAGTGACTTCTTCTCCCTGCTATTCCTAGTTTCCACCCAAATGGATTCAATGTTTTGTTCAGTAGAACCTATATCATCTCTCACTACTGCCCTGATATCATCCTTAAAAATCACAGCAATAACACCTCCCTTACCTTCCTGTTTGTCCTTCCAAACAGTTTGATACCCCTGGATATTTAACTCCCAGTCATGACCATCCTGTAACCATGTCTCTGTAATGGCCACTAAATCATACCCATTTGCCATGATTTGCACTGTCAACTCATCCACCTTGTTTCGAATGCTCCGAGCATTCAGATAAAGTGCCCTTATGCCAGTTTTTGCACCTTCTTTTTGGGTCCTATTACCTCCATTACTAACAGCTCTTGAGTTCTCCTTCCCTTTAACATTTTTCCTAATTTTCAATGGAGTTGAAGCTTCCTCGTCACCTGCTAACCTGCTGCTTTGCCTTACATTAATTGTTATTCTCCCTCTACGCTCACTTCTCCCTTTCCCCCCTACTTACTAGTTTAAAGTCCTATTAACCACCCTATTTACCCTTTTCACCAGAACACTGGACCCAGCCCTGTTCAGGTGGAGTCCATTCCCAGCGGTATAGATCTCTCCTGTCCCAGAACTGATACCAGTGCCCCATGAAAAGGAAACCCTCTTTCCCACATCATTCCTTTAGCCACGTGTTTACTTCCCTGATTCTCGCCTTCCTATGCCAGTTTGCACTTGGGTCAGGCAGCAATCCTGAGATTATGACCCTTGAAGACCTGTTTTTTAAAATTTTGTTCCTAGCTTTTCATAATCCCGAAACAGGTCTTTTTTCCTCGTCCCGCCTATGTTGTTGGTACCTGCGTGGACCACAACAACTGGATCTTCCCCCTCCCTCTCTGGTATCCTCTCAAGCCGGTCAGAGATGTCTCGCACCCTGGCACCGGGCAGGCAACACACCATGCGGGATTCTCTATCCTGCTCGCAAAGGATACTGTCTATCCCCCTGATGATGGAATCCCCTACAACTACAATCTGTCTTTTTGCTTCCCCCCTCTTGAGTGGCCTCCTGGACCATGGTGCCATGGTCAGTTGACTCATCCTTCCTGCAGCCCTGTTCCTCATCCACGCAGGGAGCAAGTGCCTCATACCTGTGGGACAATGTCAAGGGCGCGGCTCCTGTGTTCCTGTCTGCAGGATCCCTTTACCTGCCTCACTCGCAGTCACACACTGCTGTCCCTGCCCACCGATTGAATTAACATTAGTTAATCTACCAGGTGTGACTGCCTCCTGGAACACAGCATCCAGGTATTTCTCCCCCTCCCGGATGTGCCGCAGTGTTTGGAGTTCGGATTCCAGCTCATCAATTTTGAGCTGGAGCTCCTCAAGCAGTCAACACTTGCTGCAGATGTGGTCACTGCCGTTCTCAATGGGATCAGCTAGCTCCCACATCATATAGCTACAACACATCACCTGGCCTGCCATCTCTACTTAGTTAATTATTTAAAATTAATTAGTTTTTTTTTAGTTTTGCAGTGTTCTCTGCACCAGCAAGTTTACTCCGTTATATACTCAAACAGACTCCGGCTTTGCCTTCCAACCCGCTCCCAGAGGATTTGGCGTCTAGGTGACCACCCCGAAAGATAACAAAGAGACGAGGAATAAAAATGCAAATAGCTTACCTGCTCACCACACTTAGTCATTATTATTAGGTTTGGGAGGTGGAAGGCGTGTAGTGTCTCGTGTATTAGTTAACTCCCAAATTTATTGGGTGGAAGCTTACCTTCCCAGGCTGCCTTCGTGCTTTCTCCCGGACTCCCGCCGCTGAAACAACTGAAAGCTAGAAAAATAGAATAAAATAGAGATTGCTTCAGAACTTTCTGAAGAAGGGTCATTGGACTTGAAATGATAACTTTGTTTTCTCTCCACAGATACTGCCAGACCTGCTGAGTTTCTCCAGAGACTTCTGTTTTTGTTTCATTTAGGCAGTGATCTGTAAATTTAGAATAGTCCTACTGGTAAGCAAGATGCACACTTAACTCACTATGATATTAGCCCACACTCATCAAGCAGAATGTGAACTTACAAAAAGGTGTTGTTTTGAAATTGTCATTTGATTTCTTGTATTATATTACTGTCTTCTCTGGAAAGTACAAACAGCTATAATATGACAACACTAGAAAGTGATGATTAACTCTTTTTCAGGTTAAATAATCAATACCTTCATGCTGGCTGCAGGTTTTACCCATATATTCCAAAATGCTGGGAATTAGATTATCTTTAAATGTTTCTTTCATTTCCCTGCAGTTTTCTGCCGTGTTTATGTGGCAGATCATTCTTATGTCAGTTTCCGAACTAAGATGTCAACATCAGCACAGCAAGTTCTTCACATTGTGGCTGAGAAACTCCAGCAATGTGACGAAGATTTGATGCTCATGGCAGTGACTTCCACTGATGGTAAGTTTTTTTCTTGCCCTGCCAATTTTAAGATTCTGTCACATGTTATGATCAGGTTCTAACCGGGATACCCCAAAATATCAAGCTTCCAGATGAGGTCGGCTGAACTGGCTCCCATTCTGTATTTCCCCATCCCCTCAGTTGGTCACAACAGGATTAATTTAGAAAGGATCTCTCTTTTATGAATGCCTTTCTTCCAGGCCAAATGATTCTGTGTTTTAAAAAGAGTCCATTTTAACCAGACTTCCTCGAGTTAAGAATGAAATTAGTTCATTACATGCTAAGTGCAAGAAGAAATAATAATGCAGTGCATACTTACAGATTTGAAATGTGCAATAAGTCCAAACTGTAAGTTAAATGATATGTAGATCAATCTGTATCGATGATTCAGGGAGAGTAGATAGTGGACTATTGATAGTTAAATAGTTTATTATGGGTTTCTTGGCTTTGCAGGTTAGTTGAAATTCTTTTGTCCTGTTTCCTTTTGGTAGTTGTTGGCTGGCAGCAATCAAACTGAATCAATCTTTCTTTTGCCCTGTTTCTTTTTGAATGGCTTATTGGCTAACTGGCTTTTAGCACTTGGTGCAAAAGAATATTTTTGAATAAAGTCAAAAGTAGTTGTTTAACTGTGACCTTCACAGCACTCTAGCGCTCAAACCTAAGCTAGTACACGAAAAGAAATACACCCTACAGTTAAATCTTCAAATGTCTAAGTGATGTAGGGTTATAATCTTTTGTCATAGCATACTAATATTAACAATGATGGAGATACAATTATTATTTATGTTCCTAATTTTGAAACTATTGATTGTTTTGATGCAGATGATAAGTGGGTCCACTACTTGCTGTTTTAACAGGTTTTTAAGAATAGATGTGGTTGTTTAGCCTGATTTTTAATTCAAGTTTTCCTGTTTCTAGAAAGGCAAATTCTTCAACCTGATGATGTGTCTCTTTTTACATCACTGGATCCCACTACTCGCATATTTGTTTGTAAAAAAGATCCCACTGATATCTTGGTAAGAAACAATTTTCCTATTTTGTGCAGTGTACCATACAACAACATTCCTTGTTTATCTCACTACTCTGTGATCTCTGCTGAGAACTGTTAATGTATAGAATGATTTGCTTTGATTTGATTTTGATGTTATTATCACGTGCACCGAAATACAGTGAAAAGCTTTGTTTATGAGCGGTACAGGCAGATCACAACAAGCAAAAGATGTACAAATCAAGAAGACTTAGAGGCATACAGGTAGATTGCAGGTTACATTATTTGAGGCTTGGGTCCAATCAACAGTTTGATAATGGCTAAAAATAAATTGTTCCTGAACCTGCTTGTGCGTGTGTTCAGGCTTCTGTATCTTCTGCCTGATGTAAGAGGTTGTAGGAGGTCATTACCAGGATGTGATGGGACTTTGATGATATTTTTCCAACAATCGATTGCCGCTGCTTCCTTTTTTTTGTGAAAGGAGAGAGCTCCATATTTCTGAGGGGAGATTCTGTTCAGGGCTTTTTCAGAAATGTGGAGCCATACTCCCATTCTGACACTTCTATCGTATCAGCAGAACTGTCAGGGGGAAGGCAAACCCATAACCCCTTTCTCTCAGCCATCAGCTGCAGTATTTGGACATTTAAAGTCCAGACAACCAGTTTGACATCTGCTGTCAAATGTAAGTACTTAAGAAAATGTAGGGTGCTTGGTTTGGGGTGGGGGGGCGGTGGCGGTGGTGATGGAGGGCAGGGGAGGGTGCTGGGATGCCAGATGGTAGGGGTTGAGTGCCAGGTACGTAGGGTTCCAGCTGGGTAGGGGTAGGATGCGAAGTTAGAAGGGGGTAATGTGCAAAGTTGTTTGGTGCCTAGGTGGGGGGGATGAGGTATGTGATGCGCTGTTTAGAGTAAGTTGCTGTAGCTGAGAGAAATTAGGTCCTTTGAGGGATGGGAGAGTGTGTGTGAGTGTGTGTGTGTGTGGGGAGGGTGGGGGGAGTTCTGGTCTTGTGATGGGGGAATTGGCTTAGGAACAGTGTGGGGAGGGTATGGGTAAGGTCTGGCAATGGGGTTGGGAGGGGAGTGTTAGGTTCTGTCTGGCAGGGTGTAGTGGGTGAGGCCTAGGTCTGTTGGGGAGGAGGGTTGGGTCGGGTGAGTTTGAGCACAGGGGTTCTGATCTGGTCCTTGTCAGCAGGGTTTGAGGGTGAGGAAGGTTGAGTCTGATCTGGTCTGGCAGTGGGCACTGGATTCGGGTCAGTTCGGGTTGGATCTGGTGTGGGAGGAGTATCCAGGGCTGTTGGGGGAAGGGAGGTTGTGTTCAGCAATGGGGTAAGGGAGGATGGGGAGCACTGGTGGCAGATGCAAAGCAATTCAGAAATGTCAGGTCCTGATGTTACTAGATTGGGGCCTGGGCCTTTGCGTGATCTGGGGGAGATGTATTTGGAGGTGTCCGGTTAAAGTGTGTTCAGTTAAATAGTTACTCAGGAGTTAGACCATTAGATAGTCTGATTTTTCCTGAGTAGTTATTTATTAATTTCTTCAGAACCTTCCAAATTCTGATTTAAATGGAAACTTTCTGAAGGTTCCAGGCACAGAGGAATTGCTAACAGATTCTTCACTTTCCCAGTGAAGTCCTTTTGAGTCTGCCTTGGTGGGGATTTGGCAGGTTCCCAGGCACAACTCCATCTGTGCTGGAATAACGACCATTTGGCCATCAGAAAAACAAGATGGTGGTATCAGTTGTCCCTTAGCAACATTCCAGGGCCATCCAACTTCTTCATAATTTATTCAGCAGAAATCATATATACAGTTATTAATCTGATACTTGTGTATCTATTCCAGACTCTTACAGCAGAAAATGACGAAATACTACAACGAACTATCCAAATGCTTGGAATGAATACCTGGCAATTGGCCAACAAATTAACCAATTTTGATTGGGATTTGTTTAACTGCATTTGTGAAGTAAGTAATTAAACATGCTACGGAGTAATTTACTTGCACATGTCAAAACATTTACTTGCTCTGTTCAGGAGCTACACTGTTGTAAGTGAACATTTTGTGTAGTAGTTGAACTTTTCTGAACAACTTCTGGATTAAATATACACCAAGCAGGGTACCTGAGAGAGCCACCATGCAGTTTGTTCTCTTTAACTAGCTTCTCAGAGAACGCTGACAAGTGGTCTAGTTAGCAATTTGTCTAATTTTCATTTATGGATGATTGTAAATTAATCTGAACAGCATTAAGTAAGTTAAGGTTAATTCTTTCTCACAACTAATAAAAATTGATAACCATTCTGTATTTGAATAAAATGTTAACCATTGGATATGTCTGATCAGAAATATTATACAAAGTTATTGAGTCCAAATTCTCATTCCTCTGATGCCGATGTTTTCTGTGTTCAGCCACTAAGGCACCTTGTGCTATAAAACTGCCTCCACCCAAAATCCTTGGATTTCTCCACTTTCCTCCTGCTTAAAAACTTCACTTAAACCTAGCCATCTCTTCTGCCAAGGCTTTTTTCGATCCTCATAACAACACTTTGCGTGCTTCACAGTTTTTCAACTTTAAAGTTACTATGTAAACTCAAATTGTTGTTTTGAAATTGTCATTCAAATTTAGTAGAAAACAAATGCCTTCAGTTGAGCAGAGTGAATGTTCAGGTATGAATTTGAAGCAGCTTAATAAGGCTTAATAATGGACTGTTTTAAGTGCAGAGGGAAAGACAGCCAGCTGGGGTTGGTAGGAAGCATTCATCACTCAATCTATCAGTTAGATCAGGAGCATACAGCTTTCTGCTGCATCAATGTGAGACCTCCAGTACGTGCCAGCGTTTTACACAGAAAATGTACTGCACGTGCTTCAAATAAATGGCAAGAAATCCTTGGTGGAGTGAAGAGGGACCACAGACAGTCAGGGAATGCCACCATAGTCACACAAGGAGCTTGCCTGAGATCAGTCCAGGGGTTTGGCCAATGTCCGATAGCTGCTTGTTCCTACCAGAGCCCAGGGATGAGTGTTAGTCCTGGAGGATGCGTGCAAGCATTCTGGTTATTACAGGTGGGTTAGGTAGGGTGCTGTAGACTGTCCATCCAGGGCATGGACAGTGCTTATGCCAGCTATCCTGCCGCATCAGTCTTGGGGTTGGACCATTAATGGTCAGTGTCCTTATGAGGGACATTCCTTGTAGTCCTGGAGAAAGAAGGCAACTGGAATTTAAGGATGAGCTTCATTGTATTGGGTCCCTGAAAGGATTGTGACAATGATAAGAGATGATTGTTGATATCAGGGTGAGGCCTCAAAGTGAATGGGAGGGAACAGGGAGCTTAGGGTAGGGTGTTCAAACAGCTCACTGTAACTCTGAAATTGACATGGGAAAGGTGTTGGACTAAAAAAAGCATAGGAGTTTCCTGTGTCTGGATTCTATAGTTAAACTGAGGACCTTAATGGTTATGTAAAAGGAGACAACGGAAATGGGGGTTGGCTGACAGCCAACAGGGCCAAAGCAATAGCATGACAAAAAGAAACATGAAGAATGAGGGAACTTCATGTATGACAGGTGAAGCTTGCAATTTGCTAGTACCAAAACAAAGATGGAACCTTGCAATGTCAAATTGAAAGTCAATTGCACAGTAATGTTTACATAAACTGACAGACACTACATGCAGAGTGGGCAAAGTAAGATATTGTTTTTTCTTTGGGAACAGATAAACTGTGGAATTGGATTTCCTCCTGGGGTAATTGCAGTATTCAAGCTTCCATTGGCTCAGAAATGCCTCCCATCTATCTTTAATTTGCACTTTATTGGCACATCAGTTGGTGCCTAAGGTTGCAGCTTGGAAATTATGGTCACCAGCAATCAATCACATTGTGTGCACAAATTACCTCCTGGTCATTATCAGCTGAGCAACTGTATTAAAAACAAGTCATTAAAAGCAGAACCTTAACTTCCCATTTCAAAATCACATTCCATAGCAAGTATTGGAAGGGGCTTACGAGCAGAGTTTCTACTCTCAATGTTGTATGAAAACTTTGGTGTGCAATGTACAGTTGGAGAAAGTCACACACCTCAGAGCTCCCTATGGAGCAATGAAAATGATCTCCTCAGGGAGCCACTCTACTACACTTTGTGAAAGCATAACATGAGGCTTTGTCATGATGGAACTTTGTCATCGAAATTGCTTTATCTTTCTAACATTACCCATAAATTATCTGCTCGTGGATCTCATGTGGACAACACCTTTGCTGGACAACTTTTGGCCTAGTGCTATTCTGAAGGCAATGTAGAAAAATACAGTAATTACAACTTCTTCAACAAGCTCAGCAGGAATAGAAATCTCCATTGGCTGCTGCACAGCTTCCAGAGGGAGAAGGAACGAGTGAAAGTCCGCCAAGAGGTGAAGGAGAATGATGAGACTTCACGTGTAGAGGCCTCACTGTCATTTTCTTCAACTGATTGAAAGACAGTGCAAACACCAATTTAAGGATATCCAGGCCCATCATTACCAAAATGTGTTATCTATTGGTCAGGGACTTGTGCTCGGAAGGAGTGGGTGATAACTACATCCTAGCACCTGAATTGCACACAGCTTCCATCAGTCTTTATGCCAGTGACTCAGTTCGGGGAGGAACTGGGGATGTACGTTGCATCTCCCAATCCTCAACCCATGAATGTATCTGGGAAGTCACTGATGCCATTTCCTCCAACTATTTGTATCCTTCCCCATGGTGAGGGGGGTCTAGCAACTCAGGTACTGGGATTCTGCACCCTTTCATCATTGTTGGTATACAGGGTGTGGGCAGTGCTGTCATTTGTGGCTTTGACCTGAATGGCTTGCTAGATTATTTCAGATGGCAGTTAACCAAGTTGCAGTAGTTCTGTAGTCAAATGTAATCCAGACATTAGTGAACCATTTGGACATTAGACTTAATAATCTAAAAATCATTTTCGTATGGGAAACATTATCTAATATAAAGCCAAAAAATGTTGCTCATGTAACAACTGCACAAGATACATCTCTAGATTTGGTCTTGAGGTTTTTCTACAAATGAAGACAATGAAAACTCCACTGCGGTCACGTTGAACCGTGTACTGTCTACAAAGTAGCACAAAGACAAAATAACTGGTGTCCATATAATACCTTTCATTGCTTCACAACATCCCAATACATTTGAATTGTAATTAATGTTGCAATGTATCAAAATGGCAGCCAGTTTGTCTGCAGTGAGATCCACAAAAAATGAGATAGATACCAGAAAATGTGTTTTAGTGATTTTCTTCAAGGGATTAAAATATTGGCTAAGACATTGGTAAAAAGAACACTTGAAAGAGTGGAAGTATTGATTTGACAACCCTTTCAAAAGACCGCACTTCCAACAGTTCAACATTTCCCCTGTACTGTAATCAGTTGTCAGTTTAGATTTTGTGCTCAGCAGTCTACAGCAGGACTTGGATCTATAGCCTTCTGTGTCAGAAGTGAGTGCGCTACCCAGTGAGCCATGGTTGCTGCCTAAATGAGCATCAAATTATGTTTTACGAATGTGATTTAGGACAGCTTGTTTCAACTCAAAGTATTACTCCTGAAGAAATCAAACATTTGGGTTAAAGGAGAGTGAATATGCAGATATTTCTTGGTTCAGTGGATCACTTCCATTAGATAACAGATATTTTCTTCCTCGGTACATGTGCAGGGATATTCACTGATTTTCTCTCCTTGTGTGCCCTTTGCAGCAGGAACTGATCTATTACACATTCCACAGAAGGAACACCACTGCCAATCTTGACTTTATGCTGCAGCGGTGCAATGAAGTTCAACTGTGGGTTGCCACTGAAGTCCTCCTCTGTAGCCAGCTATCCAAACGAGTGCAGCTTGTCAAAAAGTTCATAAAGGTTGCTGCTCAGTAAGTGGAAAAGGCATTCTGTACAATAAGGTTATAAAAGGATTGTAAAACAAAAGCAGTCCCAAGGTCACACTATTTCCAGGACACATCTGCAGCTGTAGAAGAGATATGTCATTGACGTCTGTGTTTGGCAGAGGTTTTCTCTGGTACTAGGAAGCAGAAGCTGTTCACAATTTTCATTATATCCTATGCTAACAATGCATATTTACATAGTTGCATTGTATTTGTAAGATGCTGATTTTCCTAATAGTGGAGAAACATGTGAAGGTTTGACATCTTTTTTTCCAAAATGTGGGAACCATTTTAAAATTCTGCTGAAAAGTAATGAACTGTAACATAATTATCTTTCTATGCTTTCCAATTGCAAAAAGAGAGCTCCTTGATGATCTAATTAGGGGCATTTGTCTTGAGAGTTACTGAGCCCTGTAGCACAGAGAAGTGTAACTAACATGCATTTAACTGAGCTGGTAGCTCCTGGACACTGTTATGTTAATCAGTCTCTCTGCATTGCTAATTCAGCTCCCTCCTTCTGTTGGATTAGTCACTCCTACAAGCCATCCTCAGCAATGACATCATCATCACCCATTACCGGAAGAAAAAAACAAAAAAAGCAAAAAACTAATGTACAACAAATTTCATCAATGCTCTTCCTAATATTTGGAGCCTTAAGAGTTAATTATACTGATGATAAGGCTTCTTCTAGCAGCCACAGGCCTTGGCATTGGCCCTTGGAGGAATGCTCTGAATGAGTTATAATTGTCTGTTTAACTCAAGTGAAAGAACAGTTGGAACTCATGGTCATCGGAGAGCCATTCTCTTTTATACTATGAACAGAAATGAGCCCTGGGATGCTAGGGAACATTTGATTTATACCTGGAACACTACAACTCTCTGGTGATAATTCATTACATGGACAGATTATTGTTTTATACTTCATTGGTGTGAATTACCAACCAATGGGGAAATATATTATTGCTTACTCCTACGATTTTTTTTCATTTACTCTGAGCATTCTATTTAAAAAAAAATGCATGTTTATTTTTAATTGCCTAATTATAGAATATGAAAATCTCCAGAAACACATTTTTGTTGAGATCCTGCAGGGTAGAATTGTATTCTCAAAGGTGCAGGGGGAAGGGTATCGTGCAGGAGGTGAAGGGGTTTAAGTGTTGATTAACTTTGTGAAATTATTTGGCTTCTGTTGTTATACAACACTAATTGTTTACTTTAGTCAAAGGATCATATACGCAAGTAGCCTGTCACCAGAAAATCAGAGCTGCAAATGTTTGTTAATGAAACACAAAGACCTTCAATAGCATTTATGCTTGACACCACTGTATTCATGCTTGCAAGTAAAAAATATAACATTAAGCGTTAAGGAGAAAGTATCCTGTTCATTGACGATCTCTTTCCTGAATGAAAGGCAAAGATTATGATATTTGGATAGGTGGAGAAAAGAACAATTACCTACTCTACCAATGTACATAACACACCAATTCAAAAGCAAGGCTTCAAAAATTGTTTTAAAAGAAATCATAATGACGATAGAAATCCTTATAAGCTAACTATTAACTACAGGCAGACAAAAAAACCCATGGTTAACTCAAAAGCCCAAAATTACAGTAAATAATATTTTATGTAAGGATTTGGGGATAGGAATTGGGAAGTTATGTTGAGATTGTATAGGACGTTGCTGAGACTTCCTCTGGAATACTGTACACAGTCACCCTGCTATATGAAGGAGATTATTGAATTGGAGACAGTTCAGAAAAGAGTTACTAGGATGTTGCCGGGAATGAAGGGTTTAAGTTATGAGGAAAGGCTGGGTAGGCTGGCATTTTTTTGACGAGTATAGGAGGTTGAGGGATGACCTTTATAGAAGTTTATAAAATAATGAGGAGCAAAGATAAGATGAATAGCAACTGTCTTTTCCCTAGGGTGGGGCTGTTCAAAACTAGGGGACATATTTTTAAGGTGAGAGGAGAAAGTTTTAACAAGGTCATGAGGGGCAACTTTTTTCACATAGAGAGCAGTTCATTTGTGGAATGAACTGCCAGAGGAAGTGGTAGATGCAGGTACAGTTACAACATTTAGAAGTCATTTGGATAAATACATGAATAGGAAGGTTTGGAGGGATATGGGCCAAATGCAGGCAAGTAGGACTAGCTTAGTTTGGGACATGGTCAGCATGGACTCATAGAGTCTGTATGACTAAATGAATATAAATCTCATAGTCTACATCACACTTCTTAATTATTTGCTGTATTTGAATACTAACTTTGTGTTTCTTGCACAAGAACACCCAGATCCCTCTATGATGCATATTTTGTGTTTCTGTCTCTCCATTTGAATAATAGTCTATCTTTTGATTCTTCCTACCAAAGTGCATGACCTCACACATTCCTACATTGAAATCCATCTGCCAAGTTTTTTTTTCCCACTTGCTCAACCTATGTGCATCCCCTTGCATATTCCTTATGTCCTCATTCCCAACATGTCCTCCACCTGTTTTGAATCATCATGAAATTTGGTCACATAACACTCTGCCCCTCCTCCAAGTCACTTGGAATTCAAGTAGATAGTAAATCATTGAGCCCTAGGACTGATCCTTATGGCACTTCACTATTTATATCTTTACAACTTGAAAAATACCAATTAATCCTAACTTTTTGTCTTTTGTGTGTTATCAATCCTCAATCTGTGCAACTGCATTACTCTATATACTGTGTGCTCCTATCTTATGCAATTTTTTTTAAAAATGTGTCTATTTGCTGAATGCCTTCTGGAAATCCACAAACAGTACACCTACTGACTCCCTTTTATCAATTCTGCTTGTTTTACTCTGAAAGAGATCTATCAAACTTGTCAAACGTGATTTCTCTTTCAAAATGTCCTGCTATTTCTTCCCTAATAAATGGACTTGAGCACCTAACTGACCCGTAGTATTCTGCTGTCTGCCTCACTCCCTTCTTGAACAGAGGTGCCATATTAGTGATTTTCTCATTTGCTGTAACCCTTCTGGAATCCAGTCTGGAATATTTCAGTCAATGCCTCCTCTATTTCTGGAATAAGTTTTTGCTGAGCAAGATGAAATATCTGCTGAAATGTCTGCCCCTGCTTATTCACTCACTTACCCCTTCATCTATTTTCCTAACCCATTATAGGCTATTTTTACTTCTTACCTTAGTAATTGTATTTAAGTTGGCAGGTCCCATCCCTACTACCTGTCCACCATTAAAACTGAAAATGGATGCTTAAACATTTTTTGGGTTGGTTTTACAATTTATGAGCTATCCTTTCCTGACCTCATCCTTGGGCAGTGTAAGTTAAAATTATTCGAGACAGCTCATATTAGACTCATAACTGAAACTGTGCAGATTGATTGTTTTGTAAAATTGTGGTCCTGTTTTAGTACAAAAAGCAGTATATTTCAGTTTGTGTGGAAAATAGAATATATTCACCAACATGCATATTAAATGTAGAAATGCCATCAAAGATCAATGAAGGCAAATGATATAGATTGAAGAAATAAGGACTGGTCAGCTGTCATGAGGATACTGTTGAGTTTTATGTGCAAAATAATGCAAATGATACATTCCATGGTCTCTGAGTTTTATTCAATGCTTCAAAATATCTTGTTACTGTGCTTACATTTTGCCCCAGTTCAGTCTCTCTTTCCAACTTACCACATCCAGGAATAACAAATCTTACACAGAATAAATACCAGACACACACAATCAAGCACCAAACAATTGAACACTGCAGACATCAATCCTCAGCAATGTCATCAAGAGCTGTTTTTTTCAAAAAAGAAATGAACTATGCGGAAATAGAAACAACAGAACACAACCCAAAGAAATGTCACTTCAACCCCGCAAATAAGGAACCAAACTCAAATGACAGTCCAACCAATTACCCAGCCCAAAATGAAATTCAGGGAGCGGAATAGGAACTGTAAAGAGAAATGAAATTGAAGTTTGGGAGTTGACCTTAACACTTCCTGATGGTTAGATAACTGGCAACAGCTGGCCAGCAGAACTTATTTTACACTCTGCATGATTTTGCAACCAGTCTGATCTAAACTGAGCTGAATTAACCTGAGGAAGAAGATCCTCAGCATTTTGAAACTCGATGGGTGTCCACTTATGTTTATTATTGATACTAGATAGCAATGCTCCTTGCACAATGCATGGCTTTGTGGCTGCACAACAACCCAACAATGTCCATGTAAGCCCCAAACACATATCATAAGCACTTAGCTCAATCACACATGCACTTAAAAATGAAAAACACTTTACAAGGTATTGCTGAGATAACAAGGTGCAGAGCTGGATGAACACAGCAGGCCAAGTAGCATCAGAGGAGCACGATAGCTGACGTTTCGGGTCTGGACCCTTCTTCGGAAATCCAGCTCTACACCTTGTTATCTCAGATTCTCCAGCATCGGCAGTTCCCACTACCCCTTACAAGATATTGCTGTTACTTTTAACTTGCACGTGCATTTCTGTAACGTAACAAGGGCTGGCAAATGAGAGTTAGGAATTTGTTATGAACAGAAACTGCTTCCATCATTTTGCTTTCATTTTGCTACAGTTAGCACATTTTAATCTGTGTACATTATACTTTGAGAGCTAGTAACAACTATTGAGGCATGCAAAGCCTTTGTTACATTCCTATAATGGTAGTAGTACCAATGAAGATGTGACATTTATGTGGTCATACGTAACAGCAGATCAGAATTTATGTGTATGACCTGACTTTTGGGATGTGACGAACAGATCAAATTGAATAGTAAGTTTATTAAGATAATTGATAATAGCATAGCCAGTATTTTGTACCCTATCTAAAGTAATCAAGAATCCTACAGGACCGAATGACACGAACCTGGATTTCCAAAGATATTTTACAGTGATTGAGACAGAAAAGTCAGGATAGGAAAATAAAATCTGTGCCATTTTTCTCCAAATTGGCAAATTAAAATTAGATTTCAGTGTGTGACTGTAAGATAGTGGACAGCAGACAGCTGTCTGTATTCCATGAGAGGTTTGCAGCATTTCAGTATATAACAGTTTTGTGCATGACGGTAGACTTCTAATTTCACTACATTTTAATAAGTGTCATCTTCCATCTCTTAGCTGCAGGGCATTAAGGAACCTTAACTCTTTCTTCGCCATAATCATGGGTCTTAACAGTGCTGCCATCTGTCGACTCTCTCAGACATGGGAGGTAAGCAGGCAAATTATTATCATCAGGGATGTGCAATCTCATTATGCAACCAAGTGAAAACATGCAAATATGTATAACATTATGGGGAATCAGTGTGAGTTTGAGACTGGTGTCAATATTAACTCTTGTCAACATGCAGGGACATACTATCAATGAGGGTGCAGTTATACCACACCCATTCCTTTATGGCAGAAAGATTTGGAGCGGTGTGAACCAGCAGCAATGACTGACACAGTTCGACTGCATCTTTCAAACACTGGAAGCGCAATGTTTTGTTCCTAAATTTTTCAATCGTTTCTGGAATTCTAAGTGCTGATGAAATACAGTAATTTTTTAACCTTTTGCCTGTAATTAGTTCACTAATATTTTGTAATCCTTTCAAACTTTTTTTTCCTGAAAGAACGCATGCTAAATAGATCAGTTCAAAAGGATGTCAGGGCAATTGAGCAAAAAGCTTTGTGGACTATTGTGAGTAAGAATCATAATTTGAATTTAATATTACGTTTGGGATTTTGGCTTTGATGTTAAACTGCTGCCTTGACCTCAGCAAATCAGGGAATGCAGCCCAATCTGCTGCATACAGGCCTACTTTCATTTTCGTGGTATTGGATCAGGAAGTGTGCCTGTGTCCTAGTGAAGTAGAACACTTCAATATCAATTTAGATCATGCTGACAAAGAACGGTTGAGAGGTAGGAGGTAAAATGTAAATGTGGTCTCATTCATCGAGTTTGGAGGGTTTAAGCTATAGAGAGAGGCTGAATAGACTGGGGCTATTTTGCCCAGAGAGTCGAAGGCTGAGGAGGTGACCTTATAGAGGTTTATAAAATCATGAGGGGCATGGATAGGGTGAATAGTCAAAGTCTTTTCCAGGGTAGGGGAGTCCAAAACTAGAGGGCATAGGTTTAAAGGTGAGAGGGGAAAGATTTAAAAGTGACCTAAGAGGTAACTTTTTCACACATGCAGAGGATGGTGCGTGTATGGGATGGAGCTGCCACAAGAGGTGGTGGAGGGTGGTACAGTTACAACATTTAAAAGGCATCTAGATGTATACATGATTAGGAAGGGTTTAAAGGATGTGGGTCAAATGCTGGCAAATGGGACTAGATTAATTTTGAATAATTGGTCAGCCTTGATGAGTTGGACTGAAAGGTCTGTTTGTGCTTACAACTCTATGACTCTATCCCTTTGCCATCCAAACTTTAGACATGTTACCACATTCATTCAGATCCTCCTTGGCCCTCCATAAGTATTGTGACCGTAATATCAAATGAATGTCAATGATGTCAAACCACTAGAATAAAAGAACTCTCCTCAGCATGCGCGCACAGATTTCATGACATTGCCTTTGGCATGTTAGTAATCCACATTTAAAATTGTTGTTTGGTACAATAGAATTTGATCTCAACCCATACTTGATTTTTTTAACACTTACGGATGAAATAATGAACTTGTGAAAATGAGGCATTATAACAGGCTTCAGACGTCCACAAATCATTAGAACCACAATGGCAGGTTCAAATAATTTAGCCTCTTGAGCACTAGCGAAAAATGGAACCATTCCTGATTTGTACCTTATCTCCATTGTCCCACCTTTGTCCTGTATCCTATACTGCCTTTAGTTAATAGTAAAAAGTATCAAATCTCAGATTTAAAAATAATAGCGTCATCTTTGTCATTTGCTATTTCTGAGTTTCAAATTCCAACCGCCCATTCACTACGGGTAAAAGTGCTTCCTAAGTTTACTCCTGACAATCCTGGCTCTTATTTTTAAGACAATGCCTCCTATTACTGGGCTCCTTAACCAGAGAAAATAGCTTATCCCAAATAACTTCATTTATTCTCCTTACTATTTCAATGCCATCAATAAAATTGCCCTTAACCTGTTGAATTCTGGTTCATGTAATGTCTCCTCAGATCGTTTGGGGTCCAGGGACAAGATTTTCAACAGGGCTCCGGAAAATCCAAATACCCAATCAACATGTTACTTTGCCTAGGTTTATGTCTGTTCAGATGGGTTCTATTCATGGTGAACTTTGTGAACCATGATGCATCGCTCCAGGAATCCCAGCACTGAGGCAGGCTGCCTAAAATCTCCACAACAGTAGTCTATCTCCCAACATTGCTTAAAGATTCCCTAAAGCTCACTTGTCACTCCACACCCACAACTTATACCATGCCAGGTACTCTCAGGCAACTATACCATCCTGTACCCACTCAACACAGACGCAAACCCCTTCAACATCCAATGCCCTGTAGATTCATTAATATCACTTAGGGAGGAAAATCTGCCATTAGTACTTGGTCTGGTCTAAAATGACTCCAGACCTACAGTGATGTGCTTGACTGTTAGCTGCCCTCCTCTACATCGGGGAAACTAAGCAGAGGCTTGGAGACCGCTTTATGGAGCACCTACACTTGGTTCGTGACAAACGACAACACCTCCCAGTCGTGAACCACTTCAACTCCCCTCCCACTCCCTGGACGACATGTCCATCCTGGGCCTCCTCCAGAGTCACCTGAAAATGGGAGGAACAGCACTTTGGAACCCTACAACCCAATGGTCTCAATGTAGACTTTACGAGCTTCAACTCCCAACCTCATCCCAAGACCAGCCCTCCCTCTTCCCGCCTCCTTGACCTGTCCGTCTTCTCTCCACCTATCTGCTCCACTATCCACCTTCTATCACTGCCTCCCCCTCTCTATTTATTTCAGAGCCCCCTCACTAAAAATGAGGTGTCAGCCTGGTGAAGCTCCAACACAGGAATACTTCCATACCAATCAGTGGAAGCAACGTGAAGCTACTAGGGCTAAGTGACCACACAGCATACGTTTCAGATTGAAACTCTGCAGTCCTGTCACATCCAGTCATGAATAGTGCTAGGCAGTTTCACAACTAACATGAGCAAGTGTCTCTACAAATATCCCCATTCTCAGTGAGGCAGGGAACACAGTCCCTTAGTGTAAAAGACCAGCTGAAGCATTTGCTTCCAAATTCAACCAGAATTGCCAAGTGGATGATCCATCTCTTGTGATGCTGGGCACCTCAGACCTTCAGTGAATTTAATTAATTCCACATAGTAAGAAGAAACAACTGAAATTGCTAGATTCTGCATAAGTTATGGTCCCCAACAACATTCTGTCAATAATACCACTGCTCCACACCTCCCTCCCAACCTGTTTCAATGCAGTTACAACATTGGTATCAACCCTGAAATGTTGTAAATTGCCCAAGTAGGTCCTACCCATAAGATGCAGGACAAATCCAACATGGCCAATTACCAACCTATTAATCTACTCAATCATCAAAGTGATAGGGTTAGGGTGTCCTCAACAGTTATCAAGTAGCATTTGCTCAGCATCTGTTCACTGAAGCTCAGTTTAGGTTTTGCCAGGGCCACTCAGCTCCTCACCACATTACAGCATTGGTTCAAACACGAGCAAAAGAACTGAACTCCAGAGATGAAGTGAGAGAGACAGTCACTGACATCAGGGGAGCATTTGACAGTGTGGCATCAAGAACCCTGGCAAAACTGCAATCAAAATGAATCAGGAAATCTTTCTGCAGGTCAGAGAACCTCATACCCAGCCCAAAAAAAATACAGCTCTTGTTGTTACTGGAGGTCAATAATCCCAGTCCCAGGATATCAATGCCGGAGGTTCTCAGGGTAGTGTCCTAGGCCCAACCATCTTCTGTTACTTCATCAATGACCTTCCCTCAGTCATAAAGATCAGAGGTGGGGATATTCACTACGTTTGCAAAATGTTCAGCACCATTCATGACTGCAGATAAGGAAGTAATTGGTGTCTATTTGCAGAAAGACTTGGATAACATCCACTCTTGGATTGAAAAGTGGCAAGTAGCATTCATGGAACAAAAGTGCCAGGCAATGTCTGTTTCCTGGAATAGAGAATCTAATCATCTTGCCTTAATGGTCAATGGCATTACCATCATTGATTCATTTACTTTTAAATTCTGGGAGTTAACATTGACCACAGACTGAACCAGACCAATCATGCAACTATTGTAGCTGTATGTACAGGTCAGAGGCTAGGAATTCTGTGGTGAGTAACTCATCTTGTGTCTCCCCAGTGTCCAACAACACTTGAGAAGCTGGCATCATCCAGGAAAAGGCAGACCACTTGATTGGCACCACATACAGCAGCTACAGCATTGACTGTCTTCACTGCTTATGCACAGTGGCAGCATTGTGTACCATCTGCACAATGCACTGCAATAATTCATTCAGAATCCTTCAACAGCACCTTCAAAATCCTTAACCTCTACAATGTAGAAGCACAAAGGCAGCAGATAAAATGGTGTACCACCACCAGCTGAAAGTTCCCTTCCAAGTCACATACCATTCTGACTTGGAACTAAATCTCCATTCTTTCACTGTTGCTGAGCCAAAATCCTAGAGCACCCTCCCTCACAGCACTGTGCATCAACCTACACCCCAAGTAATGCAGCAGTTCATGAAGGTAGCTCACCACCCAATTGCTCAGCAGGACAAGGTCAAGTAAGTTCACTACCCCAACTGGGATGGGCAGTAAATGCTGGCCTCGTTAGCGATGCACAAAACCTGGGAACAAATAAAAGGTTATCCTCAATGCCTGCCATGTACCCTCCATAGCTGTTCTTCCAGTGTCTGCCATGTGCAGTGCCTGATCCATGAAATGCAATGGGAAATCATTTTGGAATCATTGGAGTAAGTTAAACTTCTAAAAGTCTAATAAAACACTGAATTTAAATACATTAATTACATTGGAAAAGAGAAAAACCTACGCCCGTGTATTAAGCGTTGTTTAGGATTATAAGCAAACAAGAAACTATATTCAATGCCTATTCTGTTATTATAACTTAAATATCTCAATAATTAAAGGAGGAATAGACCACCTATTGAATTAAAGTGATTAGTCACTTTGACATCCATCCACATATTCATATTGGATTGTTGATATAATAACAAACTTCTGGTTGCATTGCCTGAAATTGACAGAACAGAATGTTGTCCCATTTCAGTTTCAAAGCAAAGTGCCTATAATTTATGAAGGGAGCAAATGTTGCATTTTTTTTTATTTAAAAGCAAGGCTTGTTTTAATAGCCAAAGTTGTGAGCAGATTTAAATCACAGTGCAAAACATGACACGAGAGCCTGACAGGATTTCTTTTTCCATTGTGAATGCATTATGACACCTGACATTTGGAAAAGTATTGAAATGTATGGCAACTACTGTACAATGTTGGTAAATGTAAGAGTCAACTTACCTTTCTGGCCAGATCCCTATATTGAATAACTGCTGTATAAACTACATTTCAATACAGTGTCTAAGTGTTGGATCTCAACTGATTCTTGATTTTCACCATTTATAAATTAATTATGAGAGAGAACAGCCACCTGTTATCCATTTAAACATTTTGCTTAAAAGATATTATCAAATTAGAGTTTCATATATATCTTTTTTTTCCTTAGAAAGTACCTGGGAAATTTAAGAAGCTATTCTCTGAACTTGAAAGTTTTACGGTAAGTACTGTGCACCAACTTAAAATATTCAGAACGTCACTTCTGGAGTAATTTCATAAGTTTACATTCAAAGCTTCATATATTGGGAATGCAGATATTGATGCCAAGAATGAATTTGAAGGTGAATCTTGCAGAGTCCACTATGCTCCATGCCCAAATTCCTAAGTGCATTAATGAGTGTAACTCCTTGGAAGCTCTATGATTTCAAACTTTGGTTCAGTGGTAGAATATTCACTTCTGTAAGAAGGTCATGGATTCACAATGCATTTCAGAGATGTGAGCATGTAATCAGCTGACATTTCAGTACTGTAGTAAGGAGATGCTTCAGTGTAGGAGGTGCTGTCTTTTGGGTCCTGTCTACAATCTCAAGTAGGTGCAAAAGATTCCACAGCACTATGGAAGAAAAGCAGAGCAATTCTTAATGTCTTAGCCAATTTTATACTTCTTCCAACTAATAATCCGATCGATTATTCCTTTCCTGTTATTGGACCTAGCTTGTGCAAATTGACTGCTGAGTTTCTAACATTACAGCAGTGATTACCCTTCGAAAGTATATCATTGACTGTGAAATAACGAGCGATATCATCCAGTAATGAAACACATTATAAGATCTCTTTTGTTCATAACAAGGCCATGATTTGTGATTTTAATTCACTACCACAGGGATTATGTGTTGTGTTTCAGTTTGGCTCCAAATTACAGCAATAACTTGGGCATTCTCAGCCTCATTCCTATTTAATACAATTTATTAGCACAGCACAAAAACACAATTTGCCACCAACTGTCCCTAATCATCGAGTCACAGAAATTAAGAATGGTTGAAGATGAAAAATGGAAATGTTTATCACTGGATACTACTAAAACACTGGACTTCCCTTTAACTTGGAATTCAGGCACAATTGGGTAAAGTTGGAGTGTTTGCCCACATTAAAGTTGTTCTTGATATAAAGTATCAGGAGCTTTCCCTTAAAACAAACCTAACCGTTTGAACCACTGGTGAGCTGTGTTTGGCTAACTGAGGAGCTGAAATCAAGATTTGGCTGGCTTGGCAGGAATAAGAGTTAACTGAGAACTGAAGTGAGCCAACTTGAAGACCAAGTTGCAACCATCACAGACTTGCAGGCTAAACCTGTCAGCTAAAGACACGTGGAAAAGACTCAAATGGGGCATAATAGATATGGAACTCCAAGACTATACTGGCTGACATCAAAATGGTTGGAATAGTTTTGATTCACCAATGGTTTGACCTGAAAGTGATTGATGGGTATTGACACGGAAAGTTTTTCAATCCTCAACATAATGTTTATTGCCCTGATAAGTGCAAAGATATACTTCCTTTCTGTCACCACCTTTATGGGGGATCTAATATGATATTTCAAAATTTGCAGAAGATACAAAGCTAGTTACGAATGTGTGTTGTGAGTAAGATGAAAGATATTTTCAGGAATTTGGACAGTTTTAGTGATTGGGCAAAAACATGACAGATAAAACATGATGTAGAAAAATGTGAGGCTATTTACTTTGGTTGGAAGAAAATTTGTAGAGTATTTCTTAAATGGTGCGAGGTTAGAAAGTATAGATGTAGAATGAGACTGTGTTGTTGTCAATTGGTCACTGAGAGCTAACATGCAGGCACGACAAGCTATTAGGAAGCCTTTATTGCAAGAGGATTTGAGTACAGGGACAGTGAAGTCTTGCTTCAATTATATAGGAGCTAGGTTTGACTACACTTGGAGTACAATATGCAATTTTGGTCTCCTTACCTCAGGAAAGGTATTATTGCCATAGAGGGAGTGCAACAAACATTCACCACACTTATTCCCAGGATTGTGGGACTGCTGTTTGAAAAGAGATTGGGCAAACTGGGCCAGTATTTTCTGGAGATTCAAAGAATGGGAGATAATCTCATTGAAACCTACAAAATACTTAAAAGGGATAGATACGTTCGATGCAGATAGGATGGTTCCTCTGATTGAGGAGTCTAGAACCAGGGGGCACAATAAACAATAAGGAGGATGCAATTAAGACCAAGATGAGGAGAAATGGTACAATGAAGCTCAATCTTTGAGTATATTTAAGTAGAGGTTAATACTTTTTTCATTATCAGTGGCGTTAAGGGTTATGGGGATCATGCAGGTAAAAGGCATTGAGGAATTCAATCAACCATGATTGTATTAAATGGCAGAGCAGGCTCAACAGGGCGAATGGCCTACTCCTATGTCCTACATTTCTATAGTATTTCCATGGCTGCTCTCCATCATTTTGGAAGATCAGCAGAAATCCCAGAAGAAATACACATAATCATTAATGTAATTTCTCTGGAGTTTGCTTTGAATTTAATGCAGGCAATCAAGAAACCTACATGGAAATTTCTGGTAAGTACATTTTTAAGAAATGCAGAAAATGACAGAATTTTGTCATTGTAAAAGTAGCGTGTAGTTGTCATATCTTTTTTTTTTGATATTAAGCACATTAAACATCTCACTATTTTACAGGATCCATCCCTGAATCATAAAGCATATAGAGATGCTTTCAAAAAGATGCAGCCACCAAAGATTCCCTTCATGCCTCTGCTGTTGAAAGGTAATCTTAGACTGGGCACTTTCCTAGGACTGAGTATGGCTAACTGTATGGCTATCTGACTTGAAAATAGATCAATTTAATGTAATTTACTTCAGCATTTTTTGTTCTAGATATTTTCTAATCAACTTGTTCAGAGATGTTATGATACACCTTTGGAACAGGTGGGCCTTGAACCTGGGCCTTTGGGTAGTTATTACGCCAGTAGATTTCCTTCACGTTTGGTTCTAAGGCAACATAATCCTGTGATTGAAAAACAAGTGAGTTCATCTCAGACAGAAGTGATTTGCAGAGTAACTATGGGTCACTGATAATTATAGAGGTTAGATTGAGTAAGCAGGTGTAAAGATTAAATGTAAAAATGACTGCTGGCTATTTATTGATATGACCTTAAGTTTTCATTTAAATATCAGAAGTACAGTGATGACAGTATTGAACTCTGCTTAACAAGTGAAAAATTTAAGAATGTCAACGTATGGTAGATCACATTCAGTCACAAAATACATAAAACTTTTAAAAATGTTGAATCTGACCTCCATTGCACTCAATTGCCATGTCCTTTTTATGTTGTCCTTTCCATATTGCTCTTGGATTTGTAAGCATCTTCAGCCAGAAGTGCTGAGTGGATGATCCATGTTGGCCTCCTGCTGAGGTGCTCAGCATTACAGATGTCAACCTTCAACCAATTCAGTTCACTCCATGTGATATCCAGATACAGGTGAACCTGTCACATACAGCAAATGCTAGTGACCCTGATAACATCGCATAGTACTGACTATTTGTCAGCCCGAAATAGCCACACCCCTAACCAACTATGTAAGAATACGGAAAATCATCTAGTCATATCCTATGTACAATAGGGTGGTCAAATCCCATTTGGCCAATTACCACCCATCAATCTACTCTCAATCATCAGCAATGTGGTAGAAAATATCATTGATAAAGCCATCAACCACATTACTTACCAAAGACCTGCTCAGTTTGGATTCCAACTGAACCACTCAGCTACCAATCTCATTTTCGTCTTGAACCAGATATGAACAGAAGAATTCAAGAATTGAGGTTAGAATGACAGCTTTTGACATTAAGACATTTGAAGATGCCTTGAAGGAAATATCAAAGATCCAAAGCAAAAATGAAGTCTGTGGGAATCAGAGAGGAACTCTCTGCTGGTTGCACAAGAGGAAGTAATTGTTGGAGGCCAATTATTTCAATTCCACAACATAGCTGCAGGAACTCTTCGGGGCAGTCTGAGCCCAATTCAGCTCTTCTTCAACAATTTTCCCTCAATCGTAATGTCAAAAATGGGGAAGTTCACTGATGTTTGCACAGTGTTTGACACCAATTGTAGCTCTTCGGGCATTGAAATAAGTCGTGCCCATTTGCTGCTTGTCCTGGGTTGATATAAGTGGCAAGTAATATTCATGCCACACAAGTGCCAGGTAGTGGCCATCTACACAAGAGAAAATCTAATAACATGTCTTGACATTCCATGGCATTAGCATTACTGATTCCCCAATATAAACATCATGGGAGTTACTACTGACCCAAATTTAGCTGAACCAGTCATAAAAATATAGACCTGTTCTGAGGAAGGGTCACCGGACCTGAAACGTTAACTCTGATTTTTCTTCACAGACGCTGCCAGACCTGCTGAGCTTTTCCAAAACTTCTGTTTTTGTTCCTGATCTACGGCATCCGCAGTTCTTTCAGTTTTTATAAAAATACAGCGGCTACAACAGCAAGCCAGAGTGGGAATTCTACAGGGAGTAATATAGCTCCTGATCCACCAATTCCTGTCCATAATCTGCAACACATGTCAGAACTGTGATGGAATTCTCTGCACTTGCCTAAATGAATACAGCTCTAACAACACTCAAGGTGGTCAATACTTGCTTGATTGGCATCCTAACTACCACCTCAAACATTTACTCCTTGCTTCATGAGTGCAGAGTGGCATCAGTGTGTACCATGTACAAGGCACACTGTAGAAACTTACAAAGCTTTGTTCAACATCACTTTCCAAACCTTGAAAACTCAATCACCTAGAAGACCTTCACATTCCCCTCCAAGCTACACACCATCCTGACTAGGTTCAATATTGCTGTTCATCCACTGTCTCTGGATTAAAGTCCTGGAACTTCCTCCCAACACCACTCTAGGTGTATTCCCACCGCACAGACCTCAGTGATTGAAGAGTGCAGTACACCATCACTTTCTTGAGGACAATTAAGAAAGAACAGTAAGTGTTAGCCTCTGCAGCAATACTCAACTCACAATTTGAAAAATAAAGGAACCTCATCAAAACTTTCTGAAAAACCAAACCTATATATTTCTGGTGTCATTGAACTTCCTGCTTTTTTTCTCACCATTTCCGTCTCTGCCAATCACACAAATGAACCTCCATCACCTTCCTCTGCTGATGGGATTGTCATCAACTTTGAAGGATCTACATGAGCACTGAGCATAGGCCACTGGTTTTCTTCAATGCCTTTTATTATTTTATGATCCTAGATAACTAATCTCAGCTCATAATTGAACTAACCCAGCACTCATCCCATTGATTACCATGTATTAAATAGATTAAAAATCAGGCTGCGCCTATAGAAGCTTGATTATGTGCGTCATCAGATTACCACCCAGCCAGTGAAAATGAAAATTTGCATGTGTGTTGTATGTGTAGTTATCAATAGAAATTGATAAGATTAGTGCAAAATATTTTTTTTAACAACTTCTATGTTGCACAATTTTAATTTCTTTGTTTTAAGCAAGTTTCCCAAATATTTTAATTAAATTGTATATACCTAATTCATATCTTGTGTTATCTGAATAGTTGAAGTTATTATAAGTTTCCCAGTCAACACTGCAGACCACATTGATTTCTCTGCTATGTTCAGTGCACAATTATTGAGCTAATCAATTTAATCTGCATTTAATTGTTTTGCTGTTTTGGTGACTTTTTGTTATTCCATTCTTTTATCCCATTAGATGTAACATTTATTCATGAAGGAAACAAAACCTTTTTGGACAACCTTGTCAACTTTGAAAAGCTGGTATGTGCAATTTACTTACTTTTTCTTTCCTAAATGATTTCCGCTCAAAGATCACCTTCCAGCATGCTTAAATGTTTGATATATCTCAGTCTACAGTAGATCCAAAGACAATTGGATTCAAAGTTTGTCTTCTCTTGATGACTTAACATTCTTTTTAGCTACTTCTTTTATTTGTCCATGGAATGAGTGCAGTGCTGGCTGAGCCAGCATTTATTGCCCATTCCTAATTGCTACATGAGTGACTAGTTTGCTAAGTCCATTTCTGAGGGCAGTTAAGAGTCAATCACATTGCTGTGAGTTTGGAGGCACATGTAGGCCAAACCAGTTAAGGATGATGGATTTCCTTCCCTAAAGTATGTTAGTGAAATCCAAATTTTAATAAAAATAATGTTGCAAATGGGGAATGTCACATCTTTCACATTATCTGAACAATGTTAATTACTTTTGTCGAGCGAATTATGGCAGTCAGTTCAGCTTGGGGATGAAAGGTGAATTTACTGAAACTGAATGTTTGGCCAAAATCATTGATTACTTAAAAAGACATGTTTTTCTATTTTATGGGAAGTCATTCCGGCCAACACCACATGGTGAGAACATAGGGATTGGTAATACATGGTTTTCCACCTAATTCAATTGTTAATAAATTATGTATTGTACTTGCCCACATTCTGAACTGCAATTCCAGTGTATGTAGTTCAGCAACAAAAGCAGAACATCAGAAATTGACTCTGTAAAAGTACAATTACTCAATTGCATTAAAAGACTGGAACAGATACATAAAAGATTGTTCTCCTGTGCTAACACTACTTACCAATGTCTGGTGCATTGAACAGCAGCTTGGGGATTTGTTAACTTTACTTGAAGGGAGAGTTGTTGCTCCATTCAAAAGTTCAGGCTTAATTTAAAGTATTCTATTCCTAAATTAGTTGTTTCAATCTGCCATTGTAACTTCAGGGGGAGATCAGCAGAACTCCTGAGTGAACAATGTGAAGATTTAAATATTATTTTTTATACTGCTTCTCCAGGGATTTTGTTAATCTCTCACCTGTAGCAGCAATTAAGACAATATCTAGTGAAATTTGCTAGTTTATCTTTGTATCAACATATGTTACCTGTTGTTTGTTGACATTCTATTGGCAAGCACAACATTTTATCTTCTTCCAAATGGAAAGGTTTTGTTGCAGAAACTGTATTTAACCAAGTGGTCTTCCAGGGCAAAATATTGAAAATAATTCTTGGCTTACCAATGGTTCAGTGAACAGTTTCTGCTGGTGTTTTAACCATTTTTCTCTATTCCCAGCACATGATTGCAGACTCCATCAGGTTGCTGAGACACTGCAGGAGTAATCAGATCAGTGAGTATCAGCAGTGGTTGTGCACTTGGAGCTGGGGACATGGAATGGGGAAGTGTTACAGAGTATCAGCAAGCAGAAAATAAAAGGATTGCGGTGGTAATAACCTTACCTCTAGACTAGGAGGCTCATGTTCCAAGGCCCACCTGCTCCAGAGTGTGTCATAACATCTCTGAGCAAGTTGTTATGAAAATGTCCTACTCCCCCTCAATTGGCCATTAGTGCAGCTTCTTGTGGATGTGTGCATCTGAAGACAGGATTTGAGTTATATAGAAGGGCAAATTAAATCTTTAACATTTTAAGTTTGTAAAAATGGATCACTTGATGAAAAATCCTCACCTTAAAATTTACCATTTGGTCAAAATTCACTTAGGAAAGCGAACTCACAAACTAAGTACAACAAATCTCTCTCCACAACCATTGGGCCCCTCTCCAAGTCAGATAGTTTTAAAGCTTGAATTCAGGCTTTCCAAGAGAACTATTATCCAGAGAGTATGAAAATTCCAATTCACTTCATATTTGATGGAATTTTAGCGAAGCATAATGTAGATTGCATGCATTAAAGAATACTCCAATGTGATCTTCGGGTCCCTGTAAACCTTTGATCTGGATTTGTGGATGACAGTATGCACTGTAGAACAAATTGAAAACTCTAGCATGTAGAAACTCTACTGCTGCTCATACTGACAACAGTATTCCTGACCAGAATGGGGAGAATGATTGATCATTTCTCCATCAATCATGCTTGCAAATGACTGGAATTATTTTTGGAGAACAGAGAATTGGGATATAATTATTCTCCACACTCTGCCTTTTGCTAGAGAAATCACCCTGCTTTCATCAGGGGTTATTATTTCTGTTTTTGTGAAGAATTTAAAAAATAATTCTGTAGACTGTTTATTGTAGCATGCCTGTGTGAATACACCCTGCTTCAGGTAGGAAAGGAAATCATGAAGATGACATAAGGAGGCTACTCAAAGGGATATAGATCAGTATGTGAGTGGGGAAAGTTCTGACAATGTTGGCTGCTCACACAGATAAGACAACTAGATGACGAGTAAGGAAGCTTCAGTGGGACAGTAATTACAGTGATTTCTGCTCTCACTCTAGGTATGGAAGATAATCAGAAAGACCATCAGGATGTGAAAGCATATGTTCACTACTTGCACGTTATTGAAAGCCAAGAGACATTATTCCAGCTTTCTCACAGACTTGAGCCAAGATCTTAACTAAAGCTCCATCAACTTGTAAGATCACTGTATTGATGTTGAGTAAAAGCTACAGAGAACTGCAGTCATGACAACTGTGGCAAAGTGACTGGACCATTGTGCTACATGACCAGTCTCTTGTGAAATCATAGGCACAGTTTACATACAAATTCGACACAAGGTGGTGAGAAAGCAACAATTAGTTTAATAAGACACTTCCATGGTGTTCAGTCAAGAAGCTATGTTGCAAGAACCTTCGGCAGAGGCACTGAACAGGGAACAAGCTAAGAAACAATCAACTACTGTTTGCTAAAACTAAGCAGAATAGAATTCTGTCCATATTTGTCAGAAGACAATTTTTAATTCATTTTTCTTGTGCCAAACTCTCAACGCAAAGACAGAGGACTTTCTTCTCTACTTTGACATGTGGCAATTGGACTTTGCATCAATTGGATGAACCTGCCACTGGCCCTGGGAAAATACCCAGAAACAGACCTGCATGAAGAGAGAAGGAAATAGTTACTGCTGCAGAAAACATTGAGCTACAACAACTCAAAGGGGCAGTTAGTTTTAAATATTTAATACAAATGCCGTTGGTCCAATAAAGGAGCAGAATCTATCAATAAGAATTGGCAGCCCATTCTGCTTAAAAGAAAGCTCACTATGCCTTGAGTCTTTAAATTACTTGCTGTGCCTCTCCCAGCAACACTGCGCACCATTGAATGTAGGCATTTCCAGCAATCATTATTGTCAAAGGGATGGAAAATGTTAACCCTATCACCATATATAAAAGCCCGCCAGGATTTTTCAGGACTAAAAATTTCTAGGAGCAGTGATGATAAAAACCTAATGCATATTGAAATGTGGATTCTCACACCACTGGGCAACCGGGAAGAGAAATTCTTGTCTGATATTTTAGTCGTTTTTAATGTATTTCTTCATGAGAAGAGTTCACTGAATAAAAAAATGACTGTATTACAGTGCTATAAACATAAATGCCATGCTAAGCAGTTTAATGAAGCTAATGATTTAAGGTTTTAGTAAATTTTATATCTAATGATGGTGCAGCTTCCTTTGATGTGGAAGTATATTGTCCCATAGTCAAAACAGTACTAAGAGTATTTGTGCATTAAGCTAAATAAAACACATTTGTAAAGTTTGTACCCGTATATAGAATTAGTGGCCCTGAAATTCTTTAGGTTTCTCATGTTATACTGCCAGAGATATTATGTTGGGACCAGCTGAAGCCACAGAAAAATGCTACAGATAAATTTTTAAAAATGCAATTTACACCATTTCTCAGAACTCCAACATTCACTTGCTGCAGTTTCAGCAAGAGATTTCAAGCAAAATTAATCAGCTAGAATACACTGGAATAGGATATCACACATTAAATGTCATCAGGCAGATATTTGCTGGCCAGCACCTTCAGTTAAAAAGTTTACATTTAGAAACTGAATGAACAATTATGCCAAAAGTGTTCTTCTTTGATCAATGAGTTTTAAAATATGAGAAATTAGCAGCAGAACAACTACTTTTAAAAAAAAGGGTTAAATTGGTGTGGATAAATTCAAACCAAATCCGAACAGAAAGGGAAATAAAAAGAGGGAATTAAAGATTAGATTAAGTGAGAGAGGACAAAAAAAAAAGACAATAGGTGGATAATTTAAATTTAAATATAAAATTTTAAAGACCTCCAACAAGAATTCACCTGAAGGAAGGAGAGTCAACAGTTAAATACTTTCTGGGCCAGAGACATTTATTGTCACCAATTAATAATCGTCACATATTTAAAAAGATATTTATGTTTTTAATTACTAGACTCAATATTCCATGCAGTATTTAATGTGCAGTTAATATGAAGATCCAGATGCCTTTAAAAATAACAAAAACCTAAAGACAAATTGCAAACAATAAAGGTGCATATCTCGACTAGTGAATTCTGGACACTCAGAAAACACACTGAGTCATTTAATCCTTGCACTTTCTGACAAAGTTGCACACCAGAATGGCATGTTTAGTGTTATTTTTCCAGCAGATTCCAGCCCAATGTGATTAAACAGGGTATTTAATGTAGTTAACCTCGCCAGACCTTGAATGACCCTTAATTTCACTCTGGTGTCTGCTAAATTCAGTAACTAGATACTCAGTTGTGTAGGCATGACTGAAATGTATCCTTGTTACTCCTGCAGAGACTTTTTCAAATCTTTGCAGCTTCAACTAACATTCACATATGAATGTTTGCCTTTAACATTGTTAGTATTGTTTGGCTTAATTCATGTAACAATGTTTAAAGCAAGGTGGTGTTGGGTTCATTTTAAGAAGAAATGAATCTATAGAGACCCAAATGTTCACCTTTTGGGAGAAAGAGCTCCAGAGCAGGAACAGCTATTTGTGTCTGCCACCAAACCCCATCTACTTCACTTCATGTCTGCGACGTGTATTTGTGATACTGTATGTTGACCAGCAGGTGGTGATGTTACACACTGTGAATACTTCAAGGCAAAATCATGCTGGTGCCATTGAGGAAGATGATGTAGTGGCAATGCTATTTGGTTATAACCCAGAATCTAATGCTCTGGGGTCATGGGTTCAAACCCTACAATGGAAGCTAATTAATAACTCTCAATTATAAAGGTGTTGTCTCAATAATAGTAACCATGAAACTATAATCAGTTGTTGTAAACTTGGTACACTAATGCCCTTCATATTTTCTCATCTGATCATCCAAAACTTACTTCACTGACTAGTAGATGTGCTCGCTGCTGCAGGGATATCCCAGCATCCCAGGTGCCACCTCCATGTTAGAACGCCAGCTGTGCCCATGGTCAAGCATTGGCAGTTCAAAGTTGCCCTTCACTATGCATGTGGTGGCACACCAGCCGCAAAGCAATGCTCCTCCTGGTACATACGTGGCATACCTGACACTGCCTTGCACATACAACTGCACATTCCTACCTCAACCACTGTTTCATGGTATGACATGGGACATTCAGACAAGGCACCTTGTGGAATGACTCTACTTGATACTTTGGCATTGCACCTTATTGTGATGAATGTCGCAGCAGTCATGTTATAACATGACAAGTGGAGATTGTAAGTGCTGAGTAAGTACTGAACCCTTCTCCTCCCAGCCCGAATCACCCTTGAAATATATCATTGTATATGAAAGCGTATTGCATTATATTTACAGTTCAAGGTGAGAGGGAATTCCCTGTTCTCTACCTCGGTACAGCCTTTGAGGTCTTGCATTAGCTATGTGTTTTGTGGCTCACGGGTACATCTTTTAAGGTCACCTATGATATCCTCTGCAATCTGCAATGACTAATGACAGTCAAAATAGGATCCAGCCAGCATTTGTACTTCACACATTTGTACAGGGTGTGCATTTCCCGTGCACAATGATATGAATGAGAAAGGCTTAAATCTGGACTGTGCAGAAACATGATTGATGCAATTGCCCCTTTGATGACCACCTCATCTCTCAGAATAGAGTCTGCTTTCTTGGACAGCAAATAAACAGTCTGCCTACTCTAGATCTGATCTTAGCCACTCTCCATTTGTAGGTTGTGTAAAGGGATCTAGAGATCATTAAAGACATTGCAGTTTCTGTTTGCGACCATGCTTCCCAGCCTTAGCCTGGTCATCAGGCTACTCTCCTTCCGAACCTCAATGTCCCCTTCTAACTGGCACTCCCTGAAAGCCCCTATGTTCTCACTCACCACCTGAAATTATAACTGCAACTCTCATTCTCCCCTCCTGACCTCTATGCCCACAGTTTGGTCCTGCCCACTGCTCCTTATTCCCCTTCACGCCACCGCCCATTCCTCCATCAAGGCCACAATGCTGACTGCCCATATCTAACCCCCCCATCCCCTCACAGCACTCCTATCCATCCAGGCATTACCAGCTCCCACCCACTTAGTCGATATTCCCCTGCTTTACTGGCTTTTTCCCCTCTGAACCCCACTTGGCTGCCTCCAATCTACAGCATTGAGTCCCCATCTCCTTACCACTACCGCTTGGCTTGAAACCCTATCTTGACTTTTAATGCCATTGACACCTAGGGCTGACTGTGACTCCGCCCTCCCCTCCCCCAATCAACCTGGACAGACGGCCCTTACGGATGAATGCCCAGACCCTTGACTGATCTCTGTGCTTCTCCTGATTGATGATCCATGAACCCACTGACCGCTTGTATCGGAACTACAGGACCGACCACCCGCTAATGAGAGAGTCTAATTGCCTCAAGGTGCCCACGCCCCTGGATTAATTGCAGATGCTGCTCTTGATGGGTTGCACAAGGACTGATGGCAGCCCCACTTGCCTTGACTGAGTACTATTGTCCTCTGACTTATAGACATGGCTATTTGTTGATGCATATGCACATGTGTTTTTCACATTGAATGCCAGCACATGCTGTAGATGTGACAGTGACATAACACGCTCCAAAGTGCAGCATGGCTGTGCAGAAACTGGATTGGGGATGTGCCATGATGACGTGGTGAGGCTGGTATGTACCAGATGCCAGTGTCCATGGACATGGGGGTTGTGTATGATGGAAGTGTGTCCTGAGGTGGAGTTCTGGAGGAACAAACAGTGAGCTGCAGTCATCAGGTACCCATTCTGTCCTTCATATCAGGAATTCTTGGCTTCTAGTTTCTATCCAGCAAGTGGGAGAATAGGAAATTGCATATCAATGAGATGTGAGGAAGAAATAATGGTGGTTTTGAGCAATGATTCTTGTAAATAGGCCTCGCACTGCTCAAGAATCCTAAACAGGACTGGTTAGAAAATATGGCTTCTTTGCTCTTGATGTCAAGAAGGGCCTTGCTAAATATCTCACCTGATTTTCCCAATTTCTTGTCATAGCCCACATCATTCAGTGACCTAGGAAGATTCTAGCCAAGGCATCTATCTCATTACGATCCTACCCAGATTAAAAGATAGAAATCTCCTCTGTATGCCTGGAGAAAGACTTGGGCAATTTTGACTCATTCACCATTGCATATCAGGATAGAGCACAGCTAAACTGCCTACTTTAGACCAGTCTGAAATGAAATAATCAGGATGTGGAGGTGCCTGTGGTGGATTGGGATAGACAAAGTCAGAAGTCACCTCGACACCAGGTTATAGCCCAACAGGTTTATTTGAAATTACAAGCTTTCAGAGCACTGCTCCTTTGTCAGGTGAAGTGATGAAATGATCAGAATAGTCAGGGAAGCAAAAGAAATGGTGTATGAGTGTTGTATTGAAATGTCACGCTTGAATGGAAAAAGAGTCCTCTGTTGTTCAAGCTGAGGCATGTCTTAGAGCAGTGAGAAGGGAGCTACATTCTACACTTAATCCATGACAGATGTGATAATGAGAGCTTGATGGGTGGCCAAAGTGAAAACAGAGCTCTGTTTGCCACTTTCATATCATCTTCCTTCATAAACGCACAGAACATTCACCCTTAACAATTTTTAAAGACCTACTGCTATTTGGACGAAACATATATTTTTGTTTCATCTCACTACCCCAGGTGAGGTGTTTTGGGCTTTCGTGGAATTCTAACATTTTAGAAGGGCTGTGTGAATTCACAATTCTTCACTTTCACCCCAATTTTTGAATACTTAGTTCATTACCAGTCCTATTTAGAACTTCTACACTGCACAGCCATATTCACTGCCATCACGCTCCATAGGGGGAGTTGACTGGAATGTAACAGGGCCCTTGGAAACCCAATGGGAGGAGGGGGCAGAAGGGGTGGGGGGTGTGGCTACCTCTTCCCAGTGCTCTACAATTCCCTCAAAGGCAGGGCAGGTCAACAACAGTCTTTGCGCCTGGGGAAAACTGAAGCCCTTATGTGATCAAGTAAGGACCACTTAAGAGACTCTTCCTGCTGCCACTGGCATTTTATCAGCAGTAGAAGTCCTCCACTGCTTTAGAGGGCTTTCTGGAGGCTTGGACAGAGCCCTTCCTGATTGGACACTTTGCAGCCTACAGATGGCACCTCCATTCTCCATCCTGCCGAGGGCCACTCTCATCAAAATACCCTCAAGTCCATGTTGAAGTTCTGGCCTGGCTGCAGGAAAAAAAAATGGCTATCAGTCCCGCTGGCACTAAAGAGCTGCTGATGCTCCAATAGCCTGGCAGTTCTTGGAGGCGTGATCTATGTCCTGAAAGG